CCTGTTCTGTGGCAGGTGGAGTGTGCTGTCCACAACCCGGAGCCCCACATCAACACAGACAGCACAGCAGACACCCCAGTGGTGGGACATGGATGTGTCTGGGTGAGTCGCTTTGTTACGCACAATCCAGAAATGAAGTCACGAGTTAGCTTACCTAACCTACGACTGCACGCCAGGGTGGATGGAGGCTGAGCCGTGACCTGAAACTTGAGTGCTGCAGCACAAAGTCGCGTTAAGTGTGTCTCAGTTTGTGTTGCCAAATGGTCTTCCAGTCGTCTTATCTCCAGCAGGTGACAGTTTTTAACCACGTCTCTGTGAGTCTGACTCTTAGGCCTGCCACAGAGCTGTTTCCACTATAATGCACCAGCACAGCAGATGGTGGGTTTTTGCTGTGTGTGTCTTAAAACGTCTTCTTGAGAAAGACAATCTGGCTTTCAAAGTTATGATGTCAGTACTGAGGTTTTTTCCTGAAAGCAAACAATGGCTCTGCTAACCATGATAATCACAGCGAACGCAGCCTTTGCTCTGGCAGATATATAAACAGGGTGAGGTAATATTTAAACTGTTACTACGGTAATCTGTAGTAAAGACTGTTAGATTTCAACATGTTTACATTCAAACTGTCCTCAGCCGTATATTCTGCTGAACTACTGGGAGGCTATTTTTAGTAAGCAGCTCTGCCAGAACTGGGCCAAATCATGTTCCTGCTAATAGCTTTGCACAGTTCAAGATGAAACAGGTCATCTGTTAAACTGTAAGGTCTCCTTATCTTGGTCCAGGTTGCGAGTTGCACCAACCAGATGGGACAGATCGCCATAGTGGCCATGCAGAACTCCAGCCCTAAGGTGACCGAGTGTTTCAACGTGGAGTCCCGGATTCTCTGCATGGCGTACGTCCCAGCTGAGCAACGCGAGGAGAACGGCGAAAACGTCCCCGACGATAACCAGGTGTCCTCGGGGAAGGCCAGCGATACCCCCAGCGTCTGCCTGGGCATGGAGGAGGGGAGGTGCAGACGCTTACAGAGTGAACTCACAAAGAATTGCATCGTGGAATATGATTATTCATATAATGTTGTCTTTTTTAGCATCATTGTGTACAAGAGCAGCCAGCGCTCTAAGAAGGTGCGTCTACAGCATTTCTTCACCCCAGACAAGTCCACTGTCACCAGCCTGGTGTACAGGAAGCAGTGCCTGTACGCTGGGCTGGTCAGCGGCTCCGTGGCAGTCTACTCCAGATCAAAAGGTGTGTTTCACCTGTCCTGGGGCGGGACTTTTCAAAGTGTGTAAAACTGTAAATGGCCGAATGTGACGTTTGTGCAAGACCTGCAGTTTGTGACTCAGTTTTGAATAACAGCACCGTGGAGACTCGGTGGCGAGGAAATCCCGGGGTAACTGTGAGGCTTGAGGTCAGAGGTCAGGGTCTCCTCTGCTGTACGTTGAGATTCTGTTTCCATTTGCTCGGTAGTCTTGGAGAAAGCAGTCTGTTTCCAGCAGTGACCTATTTAACGTCTTCTCTCGCTGACGAGCGGCGACGAGCTGCTCTCTTCCCACAGCTTTGCACGTCGTCTCTTTTGTCCGTCTCTTCTTGGCTTGCATAGCGGTGCAAACAGAGGGAGCCTGAGCTTCTTTCTAATTCTGTCTCTGTTTCTTTCACATCAGATGGAGAATGAGTACAAATTTAGGCCCAACGGGAGGAACAGTCCTTTGCTTCTTTGCTGCCAAATGTACGTGTGGGTATCGCTGTGCTGAGGCGTGTTTGATTCACCTCTGTGACTCAGTCGCTGCCCTGCATCGACCCAAACGACAGTAAACTCTTGCTGTTTTCTTGTGCTTGTGTGCACTGAGAT